GCGTTCTTAATTGCCACAATAATGAAGGTCGCGCGAAACGCAAATGGGCACTGGTGCATGTTAACAAGTCATTATGTCGCCCTTTGACGATAATTAAATAAATTGTCGCTTGTTAACGCCCAAGGAGCGAAAACTGAACTGCACTATAAAAGATAATGAAAAGGGTTAATACATGCGGTTTTTTAAGAAAATTACTTTAGCCGCAGGGTTTTTGTTCCTTTTATGCGCTTTACCATAAATTTTAATGACTCTTTAATAACATCGGTGTTGTTTTGTGTCAAGATTAAACAAAAATATGAATAATATATTCAAATAAACGTTAAAAATAAATAGTGAATGGTTTCTGTACGTTCTAGATAAAAAAAGTTTGCTACACAATGTATATTCTCGCTAACACTTTCACTGCTAACTTTAAATTGCGACATTTCCCAGGAGCGGTAATGTTTTTCGTGGTTGTGATTAGGGGTTAACGTCAGAATTCCATTTTTGTGTGTGATACAAAAAACATAATGACGCTTATGTGTTTTTGACGCGTGACTCCGATCGGCGTCATGCGCAACTAATTGCAAATACTATAAACAAAGTAACAAAATCTATTGCTCCACATTGTCATTATAGAAACATTCTACACAGAATTCTGGTTTATTAGAACACATTTCGCAATGGTATGTAGTATCTTTCCGTATCTTTTTTTGAGAACATACAATTTGAGTCATATTTCGAAGAAATTTTTGGCAGTACGTGCCTTTTCCGTTTCCTTGGTGGATCTGTTTTTGTTTCTTCTTTCATCAGAAGCCTACCCAAAATTAATAGTCTAAAATCGTATAGAGACATTGTTTGACCAGACTATTGTTAAAACAATAAATAAGAATTAAGGATCATCAGCTGCACATAATATAAATACTACCACCTTAAAGTTTTGTGTTGGCTATGATAATAGCAACCCATATGCTTGTTATAATGAAAAATTGCAGCCGGCTTTGTTCTTTCTCGCCCCCCATTGTCAACCTACACTTAGTGCACCATTCTTCGACGCCGTTTAAAAGAGATTGTGCTCTTCTAAAAGTTCTCTCAGAAAAATAACCGTTCGCTGTTGTAAGGAGGGCTGTATGATCTGCGTAGAGAACAGATAAGTGCCTGGAATACTTGGACGTGATATTTTGCTGTTATATATTATGTACAACATGGGCAATAGCACTGGGCCTTGGGAAACTCCAGCACATGGAGTGAAAGGGGTTGACAGTTGATCGCTTATTTTTACTCTAACAGTTCCATTCATTAGGTAAGAATGTATAATTTTAATTAATTGGAGGAGTAGCCTGATGTCAACCACGAACAAACCCGTCATGCCAGACTTGATCGAAAGCCTTTTGTACATCCAGAAAAGTGGCGATGGCGATAGAATTGTTGATTGTGGCTTGAATGATTTTAGATGTGAAGTCTGTTAATGAATTTTTAGTTGATGTACTAGATTGGAATCCACATTGAAATTTTGGAATGATATTGTGGGCTTCGAGAAAGCCTATCTTTGAGGATGAGCTCGAAGACTTTACCTTGCTTTATTAAGGATATTGGTCTGTAGGATTCCACATCGGTAGCAGTATGGAGGAGTAGCAAAGTGGCTATTTTTGAGACATGCATTTGTAACGTTATAAACGTCACATTTTTATTAATTTATATTTAAATAATTATTTTTTAATTGCCTTATTAATTTTTTAAATACTTTACCTTCAGTTTCATTTTTACTATTTTTTCTTCAAAAAAGTAGTTAGCGCCCTATTGTCTTTCTTTTCGGTAGAATAAATATTTGCCTTTTTTCTCTTTGTCCGGTAGACTAAATATTTTGTTCTATGTTGACAGAAGAGCTAATTCAATCATAGTCCTACATCCTATGGCATCTGTGCTAACTTTATTGCAGTCTTCTACTTACTTTTTGTCACTCAGCTTTTCTGACATGGTGGGATATTATTTTTTTGTCTATAATTGAATTTTATAAAAGAAGGTAAGAATTCTAATAAGCTTCATTTTATGGTCTGCAGAATTTTCTTGGGGGAATACTTTCATTGTAATTTATATTCTATAATTCTGACAATAGTTTCAATATTCGTAACCTTACTTCTTTCAAAGCCACGTTTGCAATCCTTGTGCATGTAAGAATCTAACAAAATTTAACTAAGTTTAATAATTATTATATTTCATTTTATCCTTGCCATTTGCTATTTATTTAATTGTAATTTTGTAAAGTGGCAAGAAAATTAAACTCCCTTTGATGTTTCTCTAACACAGGCAGTTATTGTATTTTAGTTAATTACTATTTAACTGAGAATAAGCCACAATTAAAGATAAAAATACGTTTATTGACGTTTCAATTTCCACTTTGGAAATCGTTCTCAAAATACAAACAGTAAATGAAACAAATTTTGTTTTTTGTTACATAGTGAAAAATTCTTCTAATATTTTAATTTTATCTGACTCATTTATATTGACAATTCAGACATACATTATGCATTTTAAAGTAGACGACTTTAAAATTATATTGCCAATATTGTTGAGTTGCGCTCCTGGGACGACTTTACTTATAAGATAGTTCATTCGATTACATGAAATCAACTTTAACTTGAGAATATCCGTCAGAAAAAAATCATAGCATGTAATTCGTCTTTGAAAAGAAACATATGACATGATGACAGTAAAATTCTCCTGTTATAGTGATTCCATAGTAAATTATGAGGGAAAAACCAAAAAAAAACCTCATAATACTATCCCGACATTGTAAGTATTTGTTCGTGAATTTAGTTTACCTTCAACAAACACCAAAATTCTGATTTTATATGTTTCGTTATTTAAATAACATAAATGATGTATCCTCTGTATGTTACTGACTTACTAATACTGGTATTTTCTTCTTAATAACTTCCTCTTTCAATATTGGTAACCAGATCCTACTACATTCTGCCGAGGAATTTGCGACACAATTGGCCTCATTTAGCATAATTAGAGCCGCTTCTTTGATTTTTCTTTTTTTACCATCCTTTCCTTTTAGGACTACATTTGAATTATTCCATTGAACCCTATGTTCATTATCCCATGCGTGTTTACATATTTGAGATCTATCAAATATAATATAATAATATAATATAAACGTATTTTTATCTTTAATTGTGGCTTATTCACAGTTAAATAGTAATTAATTTAAAATGCCACAAGAAAATAGCTTGAGAACAATGTATTTTAGTTGTTGTTAGAAGTGGGGTTATATTTTTAGGAAATGTTTGAGGCACCGTCTACTGATGTTGTCCGTTCGGGGGAGTTATTTTTGCCAATTTGCCAATAACTCTCCTTTTTCCTGTCAGTTAGGGGGGCCATGACCTGGAATTTGGTGCATGAAAAGAGTTCTTACTATAAATTCGGTGTTGAGTTTAAACAAGCGATGAAAGTTTGGGTTGTTCAGGGACTGGAAATTATTATAAAGCGAGTTTTTGAATGCTTCGGCTTTTAGCTCCAGGGACCTGACTATTTGATTGTCGATTAACAGATGAGAGGGTTGAGATAATTTTTGTTTGGTTAGGATTTTGAGTTTATTCCAGAATTTACCGCTGTCTCTGTAGTCTAGTTTGGAGGTCGTATCTTACCACTGGCGAGCCTGTAGGGCAGATATTTCCCTCTTAATTCTAGCAGAGATACAGTTATATTCTGTTTTGATTATGGGGTTTCTGTTGATCTTGTAAAGACGGAAAACCCGCCTTTTTGATTGGATTGTGGCATTGATCTATTGTGACAATGCCGGAGAGAAGTATTTTACTGTTTGCATTGGAATGGAATGATTGCTTACCTCAGTGATGAGGCTTTCAGGTTTGATTGCGCTTTGGTCGATACTTTCATTTGTATCGAGTTCGCCTAACTCTGAGAGATTATTTGTTATATATGATTTGAAGAGTGGCTAGTTTGTATTACGTTAATCTCTTATTTGTCTTGAAGGACTAGGAATTTCTGGTGACATTATGTCCGTGTTTACTAGAATTGAGAGATGATTGGACGTTATTGTGTCACGTATGTGGCACCAATCGTCGAACCTATGCATCACGCTACCAGTAACGATGATGTGGTCCGGGATGAATGCCCCATTTGCATTCAAAAACGTGTACTCCGTGTTTGAGATTATGATTGGAAGGTCCAGAAGTGTTGTACACAAATAGTACTTTTTGTTCCGACTGAACTAAAAGGAGTGGGGGTACTAAAATGAATGGTCAGCTTGGCTTTTCAAAAAATCCTACACAGTTGCAAAATGTCGCTGTATTTAAGCGTTCTACATATGTTATCGCTACTATATATTCTAAAAGAACATTACGATAGTAGATATCAGTTACAGCTATAACTGCTTGGCAGTTAAAATGAGATTAAAACTTGAGAATAAAACATGAGAGTAAAAATTGAATTTTTACGTAATAAAAGGGAGTAACAGTTTTTAAAAAGTTAAAGAAATATATGGTCAAATAAACAGTCAATACAAAACAATTACACAGATATGGATTTTCAACAAAATAAACTAAATGACAATAACATTATCAAGCGATATTGATTATGAAATTAATATTAAATCGATCAAATACAAACTCGCATTGTCAATCAAACCGAAAATTTGCCATTAAAGCTTCAAAAACAATTTTCGTGATTTAACGTATTACATATAATTGAACTGAATACACATGTTTGCTTATGCTACATTAATTTCAAATATTTACGGTAGATTATAAAATGATTTCATCTATAGCCATACGAGTTGCGGAGTAAAGTGAAATCGTTCAGCTGAATAATTCGTTTCCATGATAATTTGTACTTGTCAATACTTGAAATACAATAAGAAAAAAATATCAAATTTTTATATATAAGTAAGCATATTTAACTTATATTATGCCACAAAAAAACAGTTTCAGAACCTAATTAAATAAAATTATGTTAGATAGTTATAGAGTATTACTGATAATCTAAATTTGTTTCAGATGAAATAAAGAATTATTTCGGGGAAGCTGTAACTTTATATTTCCATTTTTTGGGCTTTTATACTGATGCTCTGATCATACCAGTCTTGCTTGGCCTTCTTCAGTTATTGTTTTCCAGAGAAACGGTGCCATTCTTCTGTATTTTTAACGTAGTATGGTTAACACTCGTTTTGGAGGTAAGTTACATTCATTTGTTATCTGTAAAAATAAATATTCTAAAACAGAAAACACAAAAACTTTAAATTGCATCTTTTTGTATTATCGTAAAAGGCAAGAAATGGGAAAAACGAAGAAAAGTTATGTTATGAAAGTGCTTTTTTAGCATCCTACAATATAACAAATGTCTAGACCAGATATGCCATAAAAGAAATTTAACTAAATCCTATAGAAGAAAATATCATATTCAACACCGTAATTGCAGTGTTATGAGCTAACACAACCCTCTTAAAATTTAATTTTTTTTTTTAATAATATTCATACATAATTTTTTATTACCATGTACACTTCCCGTCATATAAAACTGGTACACTTCTTTTTCCCAATGTAAACCTGTGTTCAGAAATCAATTCGTTGTTGCCATTACAGATAACGGAATTGCACTAAATCTAAATAAAAAAATAACGTTCAAAAATGTATAAAATTTCTAGGTATTATTTTTATCATTACCAAAAAAAAGTGAATCTAAGAAATTAAATAAGCAGAGATAGGGTTGAGATATTATTCAAAATGTTTGAAGGATCTTTAAACCTAGGGTATTGGTACAGGGAACATTGGACTGCATCTACTGTAATTTTATATTTTAAGTACCTACCGAACTCGAACTGTATTCTGTGTCAATAATTGTAACAGACAAACTAGCCAGACTAATTTATTATTTATTACAAGAACGATAAAAAATGTGTAAAACTAACATCATATTTTATCCTGCGTATTATATACTAGAAAATGTTCGATGCGAAAAAACGCTTTTCAAAACGTAACAGTAACAATCCAATATCTCATTGTAATGTTTATTATAATAATTTGAAGTTTGTCTAGATTGATTATCTGTCATTATTTTTGAGTTGAAATATTTTCATAAATTGTTATAAAATACAAATCAATATATGAGTAATTGATGGATTCGACCGTTACTTGATGGAAGTTCATTTCATGTAACAATAAAACACTGAAAACTTTGTTTTGAAACTTCCACAAAATTTATTTTAACTATTATCACTACAGCTGTTTCGGCTGATAGCCTTTCTCAAGTGATCTATTTTTGGCATGCGTTTACAATTTATAGTCTCTAATGAAATAGGTTGAGGAGGGGAGAACTGTTTGCCTCAAGTTGGTCATTCAGAATTATATCTGTGTTTTTTAATTTATTGATTTCCATAAATTCTAACAAAGATAGCTTAAGGCCTTTATTTTGAACGTGAAGAATTTTAAATTTCTCATTAAAAGAATGATTATGATCTAGAAGGTGAAGTGCGTATGTCGAATCTGTTTTTCTATTCTTGAAAGCCCTTTTATGTTCTGCTATTCGTTTCTCAAAGTTTCTATCAGTTTGACCGATATAAGTTTTTGGGCAGTCGCCACATTGAATTTTATACACACCACTATTTAAGTGTTTTTTATTTTGGCTCTTGTTATTTTTAATATATTTACCTAGGTTGTTATTTGTTCGGAAAGCTGGTGTTATTCCTTTCTTTTTTATATGTTTGGCAATTTTTGTTGTTATTTTGCCTGTATATGTAATCGAGCAGAAGGTACTGGGTTTTTTCTCTGATGGTGGAAATACTATTTTCAGGGCTTTCTTGTGTAGTTTTTGATTTAACATTTTATTAATTGTTTGTTCGTTGTATCCGTTGTTTACTGCTATTTGCTTAATTATATTTAATTCTGTCTCAAAGTTGTCTTTTGACATCGGAATTTCTGTTAATCTATGTAACATACTATGATAAGCTGCCAGTTTATGTTGTGTTGGATGGGATGATGAATTGTGTATAGTCGTGTCAGTATGGGTAGGTTTGTGAAATATAGAGAAGTCATGTTTGTTTTGAAGTCTGCTAATTTTTAAATCTAAAAAATTTATGCATTGATTTTGTTCTGTTTCTATTGTAAATTCAATATGACTATGAAGTGAATTAATATACGATGAAAATTGGTCGAGTTGTCTGTTAGTTCCTGTGAAACATACCAGTACGTCGTCTACGTATCTCCACCAATATAAAAACTGTTTGAATACGGGATGTTTTGAAATCTTTGTCTCTAGATAATCCATAAAAATATCTGACAGCAATGGGCTTAGAGGATTACCCATTATAAGTCCTGCACTGTTATTTGTATATATTTTATTATTAAATTCAAAGTAGTCCTGGTTTATGCAAACTTCAAGAAGATGTAATATTTCAGATGTAATTACTGGATTTGTACTATTTTGGTCTAAAAGGTTTTTTACTAGAATAAAAGTTTCTGTAGGAGGGATACTAGGAAAAAGATTTTTTACGTCAAATGAAATTAATCTGGAGTTGATAGGTAATTGAAAATGTTGTATTTTATTAACTAGTTCTATTGTATTTTTTATGGTGAATTTAGGTGAAAATTTAGTGTGTTCTAAAATAATCTCTAACAGTTTTTTGGAAAGTTTATATGACGGAGCTGCATAAAAAGAAACTACAGGTCTTATTGGGTGATCCGGTTTGTGTAGTTTAATGAAAGAGTATAATTTAGGAGGCTGTGGGTTCATGATATTGAGGTATTTCTGTTCTATTGGATTTAGTATTGCTTTTGAATTTTCTAACGCTAGCTTAATTTGTTTTTGATATTTTTCTGTCGGATCTTTGTGTAAAGTTTCAATATTTTGATTATTTAAGAATTCTATTGTTTTGTTATTATATTCTATTTTATCTATAGCAATAGTGTTACCTTTCTCTGCTTTTGTAAACACAATGTTGTTTTCTATTGATTTATTTTTAATGGAAATTGCTGTTGTATTCTCTTTGTAACATGAATTCTTAGTTTCTTAGTTGCCAAATCTATTACAGATGGGTGTAGTGAAACTAAGAATTCATGTTACAAAGAGAATACAACAGCAATTTCCATTAAAAATAAATCAATAGAAAACAACATTGTGTTTACAAAAGCAGACAAAGGTAACACTACTATTGCTATAGATAAAATAGAATATAATAACAAAACAATAGAATTCTTAAATAATCAAAATATTGAAACTTTACACAAAGATCCGACAGAAAAATATCAAAAACAAATTAAGCTAGCGTTAGAAAATTCAAAAGCAATACTAAATCCAATAGAACAGAAATACCTCAATATCATGAACCCACAGCCTCCTAAATTATACTCTTTCATTAAACTACACAAACCGGATCACCCAATAAGACCTGTAGTTTCTTTTTATACAGCTCCGTCATATAAACTTTCCAAAAAACTGTTAGAGATTATTTTAGAACACACTAAATTTTCACCTAAATTCACCATAAAAAATACAATAGAACTAGTTAATAAAATACAACATTTTCAATTACCTAACAACTCCAGATTAATTTCATTTGACGTAAAAAATCTTTTTCCTAGTATCCCTCCTACAGAAACTTTTATTCTAGTAAAAAACCTTTTAGACCAAAATAGTACAAATCCAGTAATTACATCTGAAATATTACATCTTCTTGAAGTTTGCATAAACCAGGACTACTTTGAATTTAATAATAAAATATATACAAATAACAGTGCAGGACTTATAATGGGTAATCCTCTAAGCCCATTGCTATCAGATATTTTTATGGATCATCTAGAGACAAAGATTTCAAAACATCCCGTATTCAAACAGTTTTTATATTGGTGGAGATACGTAGACGACGTACTGGTATGTTTCACAGGAACTAACAGGCAACTCGACCAATTTTCATCGTATATTAATTCACTTCATAGTCATATTGAATTTACAATAGAAACAGAACAAAATCAATGCATAAATTTTTTAGATTTAAAAATTAGCAGACTTCAAAACAAACATGACTTCTCTATATTTCACAAACCTACCCATACTGACACGACTATACACAATTCATCATCCCATCCAACACAACATAAACTGGCAGCTTATCATAGTATGTTACATAGATTAACAGAAATTCCGATGTCAAAAGACAACTTTGAGACAGAATTAAATATAATTAAGCAAATAGCAGTAAACAACGGATACAACGAACAAACAATTAATAAAATGTTAAATCAAAAACTACACAAGAAAGCCCTGAAAATAGTATTTCCACCATCAGAGAAAAAACCCAGTACCTTCTGCTCGATTACATATACAGGCAAAATAACAACAAAAATTGCCAAACATATAAAAAAGAAAGGAATAACACCAGCTTTCCGAACAAATAACAACCTAGGTAAATATATTAAAAATAACAAGAGCCAAAATAAAAAACACTTAAATAGTGGTGTGTATAAAATTCAATGTGGCGACTGCCCAAAAACTTACATCGGTCAAACTGGTAGAAACTTTGAGAAACGAATAGCAGAACATAAAAGGGCTTTCAAGAATAGAAAAACAGATTCGACATACGCACTTCACCTTCTAGATCATAATCATTCTTTTAATGACAAATTTAAAATTCTTCACGTTCAAAATAAAGGCCTTAAGCTATCTTTGTTAGAATCTATGGAAATCAATAAATTAAAAAACACAGATATAATTCTGAATGACCAACTTGAGACAAACAGTTCTCCCCTCCTCAACCTATTTCATTAGAGACTATAAATTGTAAACGCATGCCAAAAATAGATCACTTGAGAAAGGCTATCAGCCGAAACAGCTGTAGTGATAATAGTTAAAATAAATTTTGTGGAAGTTTGAAAACAAAGTTTTCAGTGTTTTATTGTTACAATATATGAGTATTTAATTGACATGAAGGGAAATTACAAAATTAATATGAGAATTTTTTTGGATGCATGTTTAAACAAATTTAATGTGAATGACTGATTGAGAATCTGAGAAAAACTGGAGGTCTGTCACACAGCCTTGTTTTTAGCTGGTTTTATATATTTTCGTTTAACTGGCAACGGTGCCCTAAAAATCAGAGTGACACATGACACAAGATCAACTTACACAACTTAAAAAACACGATTTTTGATTATAAGAGTTGAACCAGTTTTTTATGACGGG